CCATTTTCAAAACCGACCATCAAAGTCGACATTTTCAAAACCGACCGTTTCCAAATAAGGAATTAAAATAGTTAGGACATTAACTATCTTGTGGTTTATGGTTCCAAAGCCTCTTTCAATATTTTCCTAGAAGATAAATACAAAACAATAATCAAAGCAACAAATACATAATATATATCTAAATAAATATGAACAAAAAATACATAAATACGTAAATATAAACTGAAGAAGTAATCAATAATAAATACATATTTAAAAAACATTTACTAACACAACAATATTTTTAGGGGTTCCCTTATGTTTTGCACCCTTCCAAAAAAAAATTGAGACATTGGAGTAAAAGAATTAAAGGAATTCAAAGGTTTAACATTTATAGGAGATCGAAAGTTGTTGTGTAGAAAAAGAATAATGGATGTGGATATTTATAGAAGAAAAAGTTGTTAAGTTTTAAATATTATGGTTGGTGAAAATTTAATATAGTTAGATGAGGATTATTTGACCCATGTGTCACTTCCTTGAAATTAAATTTCTTTAATGCCACACTTTGAAAAAAATTCCCAACTTAATTTCCTTATTTTTTATAATAATTTTTGAAACAAAAAGATAAATAACAATCATGCTTTTGAAATTTACAAAAATGTTTTCCTTTGATTTGTGAATACTAAAAGGAATGTCAACAGTTATTTCAAGAATGGTAAAATCTCAAAGTGTAGAACTCGGTGTTCTCCCAAGAAGAGTTTGTTCTTGTTGATATATTCAAATAGTCGGTTTCCTTTTAGTTGCTATATTGTGTTGGGTTTATGATTCAGTTGTCCCCATTTGAGCGCTAGTTCAGGTGTTCCCCAATCGAGTATTGAATTCAAAGTTTCCCAATTAAATCATAAGCCTGGACTCCCCAGCTAAGCCTTGATTCAGATTTCTCCAACTGAGTGGTTTTCTTTTCCCCAACCAAGATATGATCAAGCAGGTATACTAGAATGTGAAGCTTTTATTGTGGGATTCCATCTCTATTTGTAGAATCCCCTACAAGCATTTATATGTTCTGTTATGGTTTTTATTACTCGTGTGCCACCCAAGTAGAAAAATTAGAATAGCATTTCCTACTAAGAAGTGTTGAGATAGCAGACAATTGTTGAGTTTTCTCTCACTCGGTGATGAGTTTTAAAATTCCCTGCAGGTCGACTTTCTGCTATGATGTTAACTTCTCAATTTCTCTTACAAGTCCAGAATGTTTCCCTCATAGTGTGTTTGATCTCCAAAGAGTCTTTCTTTGATAATCCTTATCAGGTATGCATTTCCCTTAGCGAAATTTGTGCAACTATTATTATAGGTTTTAGAAGATCTTTTGTGGTGCAACCTTCCTCCCCGTCGGGCACATGCCAACAGCTGTCGGGGCAAGGCCCCCACATCCGGCCAGACAACCTCCTTTTCCCCCCGTTGTCGAGCAGGACCCTCGCGTCCGACCAACAGGCCCCTGTCTGCCCGGAACTCCTCGGGCTTTCCCCCACGTTCTCCACGTGTCCCTCACGCACGGACACGTCATAAAGTAACTACCCACGTCCTGGAGATTCGGTCTTCCTCCTCCTGGATAGTGCGGAACAGTTACCCTAGAGCGAAGACCACGTCCTGGTCTTCACGACGCCACGTCAGCCCTAGCAGTTACTAACATTGGGTCTAGCAACCCAACTCAGTGCTAGATAACCGTTGGCCATGCGTCGGGGGCTCACTATAAATACCCTCTTCACTAGAGGGTCAGGTAACTTAACTCTCTTACTCTCTCTTTGTACTTGCTTCCACTCTGCCCGTCGCTTACTTTGGCATCAGAGTGTGTTTCAGGTGCACCCCCCCTCCTCTTCAACACTTAGGTGAGCAGCTTCCGGATCGACGACGTGTGGCAGATCATCGATCCCCTTCTGGTCATGTACGATCAAGTCTCTTATTATTTTGTACATTTATTTTTTTATTCGAGATCGTGTTTCATATTTCATCTGAAAACAAATACACAACTTATAACAAAAAACAACATGTTTTGATACACTTCAGAGATGTATCTCCAGAATATTACCGGAGATGCATCTTCAAAAAAATTCAAATGTAAATACTTTCTCAGTGACATGTTTTAAATCTTTAAAATAGTTCCAAAATTATATCTTCGAAATATGTCAACATTTATTCAAAAATAAGTGTGTTCGAATACGTATCTCCGAAAACATAAGACATATGTAAAAATTCACATAGTGCATTAAAAACAACTAGTACAATAAAAAATTCTCAAAAGTAAAACTAACAGACCTACTAGTCTTTCCCTCTTGTTTTTCCAATTTTTCTTTTTCAGATCGGAAGATGAGTTCCTCCTGAAAAAACAAAAAGGTTTAAATGCAATTTTGATCCCTTTAATTTAATATTTTTTAATCTTTAGTCCCTGCATTTTAAAAATCAGTTTTTTTGTCCTTAACTTTACATCACTTGGAATTTTGATGGTCCCCCTTCAATTTTTCATATGTGGCAACGATAATTGAAATATAAAATTATTTTTTAATGACATGGAATGGCTGACTAAGATAATTTATTTTTTAAAATTTTTTATTAAATAAATTAATACTTTTAATTATTTTTTATTAATTAATATTTTTTAATAATTAATTAACAACTTTAATTAAGTTTATTTAAAAATTAATTCATTCAAATATTAAAATATATTTTTCTGGCTCAAAGCCTTAGTTTACAAGATCTCTCTAATATATTAGTGTACACAAGAAGTCATTGGGTTTGTTTATTTAACTATATAAATAATTGTGTATTTTTTAGAGAAAATGGTGTGGGGCTGACCAAAATCACAACAGAAGCATTTTCTCAAGTGTTGCTTTGTTCACTTTTTTTCACACCTTCCCATTCTTTTTTTCTACTGATTTTTCATTTATATATATAACATTGTTACTACTGCATGATGGGCACTTATACATGGAACCTTACTCTTCTTCCATTTGTACTTGAAGTATGTTATTTCTTATTAAACTTGATATGTATCATTTGAAAATGAGGTACGCTAATGACAGATCTTTTGATATTAACTGCATGTTTTTTTCTCACTTTTAATTGATGGAGTAAAATCATGACCATGTTTCATAGTTTATGCACGCTCTTTTTGGGTTTGGTGCGTGGATCTAAACGGTGGGCTGCCCAAGATCCGATCAATAGGCTCTGATACCATATTAGAGTTTGACCTAACACAACCTTACAAAATCGGTTGGTAAGGTGAGGGGTGTCACTCTATATATAAACTATTTCAATGCTCTATCTTCAATCAATGTGGGACTTTAGGATCTTCCTAATAACAAATTAATAAGCTTCGGTAGAAACTACAACAGCTAATACTAGATAGATTAGTCATTATTGTTAATGGAAGTGGAACAGGTTATGTTCATCTACTCCCTTTCTCATTATAGGGCCTTCCTATTATTCTTCAGGAATTTAGTGAATGCTAACATGTTGCTTACTGACTTTTCAATCACTGAATTTTAAACTGTGCCTTGTTTGCATGATTGTGTCCATATTTTTGTCTGAGCTATACAACTTTTCCTTCTTATCTTCGTGTCATTATTGGGGTAGGATGTGGATGCTTTTGGTGGAAGGTATTGCCTCTTGTCTTTTGTGAATTGTTGGTTTGAGTAACGGGATGTTGTAGCTATGCATCCTTGTAGGAAGTTTGTGTGGCCAAAATTTGAATTCAAATGTGATATGTGGCTGTTTGAGTTGTCCAATAGCAGCAAATCTATAAAATTTATATAAAATTTATGAACTTATTTCATAGTAGATTTTTTTTTTCTTGTATTTCTAGAAAGAATGATGAAAATGATGTAAACATTGAGGAATGAAAAAATGATGTAAACATTGAGGAATGGGAAAATGATTTAAAGAGAGAAAATAGAAGGTTGATAGAAGAAGACACTAAATGCATAATGCATAAATGGATGAGAATACATTGAAAAGAGAGAAGAATTGTTATGATGATGAGCCCCACATTGATTTGTTTACAAATCATACAAGGGTTTATAAAGCTTGAACATATGAAGGTATGAGTTACTTGTGAAGCTTGAACATATGAAGATGTTGGATGAGTTACTTGTGATGAAAATGGGCCATTGAAAAATGAATATATGCCCGCCCCACATGAAATATGATATTAGGCCTTGAAATGTCTTTCCAAAACTTTAATTAATTAATTTATTAAAAACATAATTAAAATTATTAACCCTCAGTAAAAAAATATTAAAAATCTAATAATTAATTAATTAAAAAATAAAATAAAATAAAACTTCTAAAAGAATTAAATAAATTATTAATTACTTAATTAAAAGATATTAAATAATCATAGTCATCATTTTAAACTCTATCAAAAATAAATTTTTTATCCCATTCATTATTCCCACGGATGCAAAATTAGAGAGCTGTCAAAATCTCAAAATCTCAAATTATGTAAAGTTCAGGAAACAAAAAAGCTTATTTATAAAATGACGGAACTAAAAATTTAAAAATCATCGAAATAAGAAGACCAAAAGTGCATTTAAATCAAACATAAAAAATATACATGCATAGTATGGGCAAAGGAATAAAATGCATTAATAAAATAGGATTAGTTTGATAATACAAGTACAGTGTGACAAGCAACGCTCTAGCTCATAAGACAAGGCAAAACAAGATGCAACCTTGGATCCTAATCATAAACCACAACACTGATTACACACACACACACACACATATATATATATATATATATATATATATATATATATATATATATATATATATATATATATATATATATATATATATATATATATATATATATATATATATATATATATATATATATATAATACTTTCTCTTCTTTACTTTCACCCATTGCAGCTCAATTTTACAGCTCCTATCTTTCAGAAAATACTGTGGAGCTAGTTACACATAAACATTGATATTCTGTTTCACCTGAGTCGCCGCATTGTTATGATTCGGCAGGAGGGTTTTGTATGCAGCAAAACCATTTTTTCTGGAAACCAAATAAAATCACCCATAAGAAAAAGGTAAATGCATAAGTTATTTTCAGCTTATTTCAATAAGCTTTCCACGATAAATTATGGAAGTGCTTAACAATTTGTTTTTTCCAAATGCATTTATATAACAAACAGCAGTACATGTCAGTTTTATATATGCATATACTAAAGAGCATCTTACACTTTGAGGTTTGCCGGGATCTGATGCAGGTTTGCTTTGAGGTTCAGTAGTAGTCTTTCCTGGTGACTCGGTAGTGCCACCTGTCTTTTTCTCATCCCTTGCCTTATTAAAAATCACTGTGAACCCCTCAGCTGAGGCTGGATCATTGACATCCCATTCACCGAATTTGGGTAGTGGAGGACCCTTTTCCTGTAAGATAATCACAGTAGCTTATGTAAAAGAAAAACACAAAACTTTTAAAAGTTCATTATTATGCTTATGAATTTGATAATCATACACTACGGAAGTAATGAAATTGGAAAGGAAACCTAATGATGGAATATATTCTCTGCATACTCCAAAAATCTCTTAATTCATTCCTCCAAAAATAATCTTGAGTGCAAGATACCACTCAGCATAAAAGAACGAAGTCTAAACATAATACTGAAAAAGGTGTGTTTTGATTAAATGGTGTGCTTTGACTAAAGTATGAGCAGCAACTTTCCACCTAGCAAATTCAACAGCCGGGTTCTTACAACTAGCATTCAGTAAGCTGTTTTAGGCCCACTTCAAAAACACCTTATCCAGCTCGAGCTTCACAATCCATAAAATTGGACGTTGTAGATCCACAGCCTCCTTACATGACCCAGCAATTTTGAAGACACTCAAGAGTGTTTTCAACATTAAGACCTGGTTAGGATCATCTCATAAACACAGACCCAAAACTACCCACCATATAGGCCAAGTCATTAATTGGTGCTAGGAGTATGATATTTCATATAATAATTAAAATCATAAATCCTTTCTAGCAACTTCGCAAAACATACAAAGTTCTCATATTTCTTTTGGCTTTTGGGTTTCCATACTGAGACTAATAGTTTGGAAAATGGAAACATTTCCATACCATTTCAAATATTGGGAAGAACAAATGAGATAACATCCTATAACATTGTGTGGTTTAACAGCTAATTTGTAAGGTTGTCAAAATCAGGATCTAGATCTTAAAATCTTAAGATTTTGTGATCCCACTAAACCCCAATGATTCCAATCTTAAGTAGAATTGTGTTTTGTACTCAAATCGTGAAAGGAAAAAAAATCGTAAATAAAACCATTAATTATGTTCGTTCTTGGCCAATTCTAGCCACGATCGACCATTTTCCGATCACCACCATTACAAGCCGAGAAAGATGACAAGATGCCAAGGTGCAACAATTACGGTTTGGTGGAGGCCATTTTCCCACTGATACATTTGCCTACCAAAACAATAATATCATGTAAAAAAGCTTCAAATATATCATATTATTTTTTGTTTTTAGTAATATCTTAGAATCTTATGTTTTACAATCTTGCTACCCCCTCCCGATCTTACAAAACTATTTGGGTAGAATCTTAGATCTTAGTTACGATCTTATATATCCCAATCTTACTATCCCTTCATGATCTTGACAACCTTGGCTATTAGGGTAGCTTTCCCTAGTTGATCTGCCTCTCTTCTAGAACTTAGCATTTAAGTGTTCATGATTTATTGATTTAACAGGTGTTTGAGAAAGTTTATTTGAGCTTATCTTATGGCATTAACACTTATCTAAGTGTTTGCAATAGCTTATAAAAAATAACTATAAGCTATTTTCAGCTTATCTTACTAACCTCCCTAGTATGCTGTCATTTTTTCTTATAATACAAAAAAACACATACATAAGCACTTACACAGTATACACAGTAAGTGCTTAAAAGTTTCTATTCAAGAGATCAAGGCTAAAATAGAAACATTCAAATTAAACAAAGTACATAATAATCTAATAAAGAAAGAAAGAAATCTTAATATGAGCTAAATTAAATATATAAACTAACTTCAATTCAATTACCAACCCAATTCAATGAAAAATTAACTAAAATATCTAAATCTTAGTTTTCTTTTCATATTTCAAACCTAATCAAAAAATCAAAGTCGTGAACCTTAAATTCAAAAACCAAAGAGAAAAGATCACAGTGCAAAACCAGAAATTAACAATATAAATGAATCAAAATCAATTATTAACGCAAATCAGAGCTTGTTGAATCAAAATACAGCAAATCAAAATTATAACAAAAAATTGATCAAGGAAAGAAAAACACCTACCGACAT